TTCCTTCCTTCCTTCCTTCCTTCCTTCCTTCCTTCCTTCCTTCCTTCCTTCCTCTGCTAAGAGTACAAATCAAATCGGTGGCATTGAACATGTTCACATTGTTACATAAGCATTACCGCCATCACCCATCTCCTGAAATCACGTCCTCCCAAACCTGTCTCCCCTCTCCCCACCCAGCATTCCCCCTTCTACTTCCTGTCTGTGAACTGACTAATCGTGGTCATTCATATATGAGAAATTATACTCTGGTTTTTTAGGTCTGGCATATTTTATGTAGTATAATGTCTAAGGTTTGTCGATAGAGCATGCGTCCACATTTCTTTCCTTTTGAGGGTTGTGTAATGTTCCATTGCGTTGATGTAATGTACATGTGTTCATTTACCTACTTAGCGGTAGGTACTTGAGTTGTTACCAATTATAAATAACATTGCTGTCAGCATGTATGGCTGTCAGCACCGTGTGCAAATAACTGCTTTTAATTCTTTGGAATATGTTTCCAGAAGTGGAATTACTGGACCATATAATAATTCATTTTCTTCCTTCCTTCCTTCCTTCCTTCCTTCCTTCCTTCCTTCCTTCCTTCCTTCCTTCCTTTCTTTTTCTTCCTTTCTTTCCTTCCTCTCTCTCTCCTTTTTTGCAGAAATAGGGATTGAATTAGGGCCTCATGGTTGGCTATGCTAGCAGGCACTCTACCACTTGAGCTATGCTCCAGCCCCCTTTTGACTCGTGTGTGTGTGTGTGTGTGTGTGTGTGTGTGTGTGTGTGTACATGATAGTATGTGTGCATGCTTGAATTTGGGACCTCTCAATCTCTCTTAACTTTTCCCAGCACAGCTGGTGCTCTACCACTTGAACTATATAGCCACTTAAGAGTTTCTCACATTTATCTGCTTAGGCTGGCTTTGAGCTTTGATTCTCAGATCTCAGGCCCCTGAGTAGCTAAGATGATAGGTGTGAGCCATCAGCGCAGCACTACCTTGGTTATTTATTTGTTTTGCCAGCACTGGGTCTGGAACTCAGTCCCTTAGCTTTTGCCCTTAAGGCTGGTATTCTGCCACTTGAGTCATGCTCCCGTTTATGGCTTTTTGCTGGTTAAATGAAGTAAGAGTCTCATGGACTTTTCTGCCTGAGTAGCTTTGAACTGCTATCTGCAATCCTCAGATCTCAGCCTCTTGAGTAGCTAGGATTACAGGCATAAGCTACAATCACTTGGCTACTTAATTAATTAACTGAACTCAGGGCCTGGGTGCTGTCCCTTAGCTTTTTTACGCAGGGCTAGTGCTCTAGACCTTTCAACCACAGTGCCACTCCTGGTTTTCTGGTGGTTAATTAGAGATAAGAGTCTCACACCCTCTCCTGCCCGGGCTGGCTTTGAACCTCGATCCTCAGATCTCAGCCCCCTCAGTAGCTCGGACTACAGGCATGAATCACTGACACTGGCCTTGTTTATTTTTGACATAGGGTCTCAGTTTTGCCCAGGCTGTCCTGGACTGGGATCCTCCTGTTTGTGCTTCCCTGTATCCTAGGGGTAACAGGCACAGAGCCCAGACACGGCACTTCCCTATAGCTGGGATGCTGGGCAGCCTCAATCTCCTGATCTCCACCTCTCGAGTAACTAGGATTATAGGCGTGAGCCTCAGCACTGGACCCTGAGCCTCCGCACTCGGCTCTGGCTGCAGGTTTTAACTGGATTTCTCATAACTGAGTTTGAAACAGGGCATCAACGGAAGCTGGCCTTTAGGACAGGAGCCGGGCTCTGATGGAGATGGTGTAACAAACAAGAGGGTCTCCAGAACCAGGCATTGAAAGGTGGCTGACTCCCTCCCCCTCCCCCTCCCCCTCCCCCTTCTGCTCTTCTGTCTTTGGGAGCAGCAGTGCCAACACCTGTGTGTGCTCACCTGGAGACCTACAAAGAACCTCAGTATGGCCATTCACCGACTTCCCTCCTGGCCAGCTCTGAGTGGGTGTGGCCTGCCGAGACCAGGGGCATAGAGTAGAAGCTCATAAAGGGTCTCTGCGACTGGGCGTTGTTGGTGGCTCACGCCTGTCATCCTAGCTACTCAGAAGGCTGAGAGCTGAAGACCGAGGTTCAAAGCCAGCCTGGGCAGGAAAGTCCATGAGACTCTTTATCTCCAATAAACCACCAGAAAACCGGAAGTGGCGCTGTGGCTCAAGTGGTAGAGTGCTAGCCTTGAGCTGAAGAGCTGAGGGACAGCGCCCAGGCCCAGAGTTCAAACCCCATGACTGACAAAAATAAAGAAAAGGGTCTCTTGCTTCTAAGGTGCAAGCCGTAACCCCTCAGCCAGGCAGTGCTGGTGTTTAGAGGCTTAGAGAGGTAAAGCAACTTGCCTGAGGCCCCACAGCTGGGAGCCAGGACGGCCTTGCTCTCCTGTGCAGCCCAGGGTCCCCACAGCCGAGTTGGGGGAAGTGTGAGCAGGCCTCCCCTCCCTGGTGGTTGGGGAACACCCTGCCGGGCTTGGGAATGAGGGAGGGCAGAGAGGCAAGGGATGGGCCCTCTGCATCTCCAGGGTTTCTGAGACAAGAAGGCAGGGGCTTTGGTGGCTTTGTCCTGTGCAGGGCCCTGAGGTCAGGCTGGACAAGACAGAATTTGGCAGTTTCACGGAGTCCCAGACCTGGGACAAGGCAGACTCTGGCTAGAAGCAGAGTTAAGAAGCGTTAGCTTGCTGGGTACCAGTGGCTCACAGCTGTAATCCCAGCCACTCAGAAGTCTGAGATCTGAGGACTGTGGTTCAAAGCCAGCCCAAGCAGGAAAGTCTTTTACTTACCTACAGGGAAAAACTGGAAGTGGAACTATGGCTCAAGTGGTGAGAGCCAGCCTTGAGTGACAAAGCTCAGGGACAGTGCCTAGGCCCTGAGTTTAAACCCTAGTCCTGACACACACACACACACACACACCCCTCATCATGAAGCGCACACACACACATACACACACACACACACACCTCATCATGAAGCTCCAGCCCGGCCTGGAAGATCACACCGAGGCTCTTGGAGACCAGGGTGGCCAGGACAGCCGGGGAGTGGCCAAGTAGACACACCCGGCCATGTGCAGGAGATAGCGGGGCACCCAGGAGCCAACTTCCAGGCTCTGCTGAGCCCTGGCTCAGAGGCAGGGCATCACCAGCTTTCAGCAGGTAAGGGAGGTGACACTCAAGGTGGGGGGAGGGACAGAACTACTTCCAGGTCCCAGGATGTGGCACACGGTGGCAGGCACAGCAGGGCGAGCCGTCCGGGTCACCCCGGGCGCCGCTTCCATTCAAGCCGACCTAGGAGCTAGGCGGGCACGGGCACCAGTGTGTGCGCTGCCGGGTCCCACGGTCCCACATCTGGGAAGCTGTTCCTTCCCAGCGGGGCTCCTGGGGCCTCCGCGCTGACAGGACCCGGCCCACACGAGGCCCTTTACGGGTAATGATAGCTTTTATTGTATCCTAAAAATGAGGCAGGCTCTGGAAGACATTATTTTGGGTCTTTCTTTGTGATGGATTTGTGTTTCTGGGGCTGGGAGGGGGGAGATGGCAGCCGGCACCTTCCAGTTTTGGGGGTACGATGGGAGGGTCTCGGAGGGGGGGTATGACTTGTAGAGAAGCCAAGAAGCCCAGAAGGCTGGGCTTGGGCAGGGGACTGCTGGGCGAGGGCTGTCATCTTTGGTGGTCCTGGGTGTGAAGCAGGGAGGGCTGGGGCGGCTCCACCCAGGATGGAAGCAGAGCTTCCGTGGCTGGGGTTGTGGGAGGGGCCACGTCTGTGACATCACTGCTCAAGAGGAGCAAGCGGGACCCCAGACTAGGAGTCAGGAAATCGGGGCTCTCCCCTTGCTTGCCCAGCCCGCCTGGCTAGGCCCCCGTTCCTCATGTGTAAATGAAGGGTGGACTGTTTATTTCTGCTTTGTTTTATTTATTTTGTATTGGTCCTGGGGCTTGAACTCAGGGCATTTTCACTCCAGCCTGGCATTCTACCACTGCACACAGCTCCACTTCCCACTTTTGGCTGGTTCATTGGAGATAGGAGTCTCTCAGATTTGTCTGACCTGCTTGGCTTCAAACCTTGATCCTCAGATCTTTGGGTTACAGGTGTGAACCACGGCGCCCAGCTCTGCCATGGTTTTGAGGCCCTGGGTTAGCTCTGTGAAGCTGGCTGAAATGCTGGTTTCTAGGCCCGAGGATTCCATCCCTCAGGGTCCACAGCTGGACAGCACGTCTAATGCCCACGGGGTGTTTTCTCTGTTCTGCTGAAGCTTCTCCCAGAGCTGACACTGCACCCCTTTGCCCTCAGTTTACCCAAGTAGGGAAACCATCCTGTGGGGAGGGACTCGACAGATGCCCCGTGGAAATAAGGCTGGGAAGATCTGGAGAATCCAGAAGGACTGGGTGTACAGGAGAGGCGGGGGCCAAGCCCCAAGGCCCGGGAAGCCTGGCCGGGCTGGAAGCCGCTCTGTGGGGTGCAGGGGGAAGGTGTGGGCCTTCGCTGTGTGTGGCACTCAGACTGTGCCATGGGGTAAGGGGCATCTGGAGGGGCGAGTCTGACTCCAGCATCACAGAGCCAGGGAGGAGCTGGGCCAGCCAGAAGCCTCACTGTGGAGCGGAGGATCTCTGCCACTCTGGAAAGATCTTCTGGCCTCCTGCCCACCCTTCCTGCCTATCCTACCCCCACTTTGCCCGTCACGCCTCCCAGCTCCCCTGGAGAGGCCACTTTGGGGGGTGTGGGTTGGACATCCACTGTCCCCCCTACCCCCAGGAGATAGCCATCTCTCCCCAGATTATCCTCAGCACCCCCTCTCCCCACCTCCCTGCCTGGCCTCTCAGCTGCGGTCCCCTCCCCCCTTCCCCCACCTCCCCCGTGGCTAGCCTTCCTTTTTTGCTGTGGGCACAGACATGCACACCCCAGAGATGGCGTTATTAAAAATGACATTTAACCAGAGCTGGAATTACCACGCCGATGGTTGTGAACGTCAGAATCAAAGCGGGCGCCGCCGGGCGGGCGGGCCTGGCAGGGGCCTCGTGGGCTCCCTGCCGCCATATAAAACCCCCGCAGCACGCAGACCGCGTCTTGAAAGCCGGCGCACCTCGTCTCATTAGACTAACAAATAACACGTAACACAAAACAGCTGTCCACAGAGGCCCCTAATGCTCTCAAGATGGGCCGTGGGCAGCCCGGCGTGCAGGGCGCAGGTTTGGGGGCCCCTCTGCGAGCCAAGGCCCTGGCCAGCTCCCGTGGGCCCCAGGATCTCCTTCTTTTCTTTCTCTGCCTCAGTGTTTCCTCTGAGGTCTGAATGCAAAGGATGTGTCCCTGGATTGCAGCTCTCTACTGTAAGCGTGGCACAGGCCTGGCGGGTCCCAGACCAGCCATGTGACATCGGCATGTCCCTCTTCTGTGCTCCCCATGCGGGGACGAGGATCGGCCCCCGCAGGGAGCTTGCGAGGCGTGGGAAGGAGTGGTTGCAGAATGCTTGGCAGGTAGAAATACTCCGAAAGAGAGTTTTCACAGAGAGGTTTAGTGACTGGTTCCAAGTCACACCGCCAGTGGAGAAGCCAGGCTTCTTCTTGGACCCAGAGTCCAGGACACACTTATTTGTTTTTGCATGTGTGTGTGTGCGTGCGTGTGTGTGCGTGCATGCAAATGCACCCATGCTGCTGGTGGTGGGGGCTTGAATTCAGGGCCCTAGCTTTTTATACTCAAGGCTGGCTCTCTACCACTTGAGCCACAGCTCCACTTCTGGTTTTCTGGTGGTTTATTGGGGATAAGAGTCTCACAGACTTTGCTGCCTGGGCTGGCTTTGAACCACGATCCTCGGATCTCAGCCTCCTGAGAAGATAGAATGACAGGCGTGAGCCACTGGTGCCTGGCTTTCCTGCCTTATTCTAAGAGACTAACATTTTACTCCATGTTCCCCCTTCCTACCAAGATAAGCTCCATTCTCTAAGAAAGCTGGTGGGACTCATTCATTCATGCATTCATTCATTCACCTAGTGCTCCCATATGGGACCTTATGAGTGAGGTTCAGCATTATCCCATCATAGCTGAGAAAACAGAAGCTCAGAAAGTTGACACCATCCCCTGGGTCACCCCGGGAAGACTCAGCGATCCCACAGAGCCAGAATCTGGGCTCCTTTTTTCTTGCATCCACCTGAGTTGACCTTGATCCAATCAGGGAGGGGACTCTGGGTCCTTCTGTGTTTGTGGGGCAGGGATGGGGGTGAGCCAGGGAGTCCCCCACCTCAGGAAACTGTGTTTCCTAGCGACATGATGTTTTAATTGGAAGGCCAGATCCTCCGCAGAGTCAGCTCGCTGGCCACCATAGCCACGCCAGGAGACTGTCAGGGCTCCAAGCGGGAAATTGCCGGAGACAAGAAGTAAAAATGGACTGCTCTTGTTTCACAGGGAAGGAAAAAAGAAAAGGCAGGGCTCTAATGTCAGCCGAAAGCAGGCTTGTTTAAAGAATCCTGTGGCAGGGGTTGGAAATTTCATGTCTGGATGGAATTGGGAGATAAAAAGCCACTTTTTCTTTTTTTTTTTTCTTGTGTTGGTGCTGGGGATTGAACTTGGGGCCTGGGTATTGTCTTTTAGCCTCAATTTTTTTTTTTTTTTTTTGCTGAAGGCTGGAGCCTTACCACTTGAGCCACACACCGCCACTTCTGTTTTTGTTGTTGTTGCTTTGTTTTTACTGGCTAAGTACAGATAAGGGTCTCTTGGGCTTTTCTGCCCAGGCTGGTTTTGAACTGGAATCCTCCAATCTCAGTCTCTTGAGTAGCTAGGATGACAGGCCTGAGCCACCGGTGCCCAGCTAACCGGACCACTTTCTAGTCTCTCTGTCAAGGTGTGGAAAGTGGGGAGTGGCATCATGGGTCCCTGCAGGACGCAGGGACAGGTAGGCTAGAGTGCAGGAGCTGTCCTGGTTACTCTGAGGGCCTATGACCCCTAGCTTGTCAGCTTCCTAGAGGAAACGGAACTGCAGAATGGAGCTGGAACAGGAGGTCCTGGGGTCACCAGCCTCTCCCCAGGAGCCCTTGCTATAAGCAAGGGTCTCCCAGCATGTGGGGAGCCAGCGGCTGGTGTGGGGACCAAAGTTGTGTCCTTGTAGTCCCGAGCTTCCTGGGATATCCTTGTCTCACTCACCGCTACCCGGCCATCTGGGCTGGTCTACCTCACTTCTGAGGTCTGAACTACTTCAGGAAGCCCAGATCTTGAGTTGGGAGTGGGGAGGCCTAGGAGCCGACTCCAGCCAGAGGCAGGGCAGGCTCACCCACCCCTGTCTGCGAGACCCACTGCACCTATCTGGGAGGGTGGCCGAAGAGCGTGTACAGAGAGGCCCTGAGCAACCATGGCTGGTGATGAATTTACTACCTAATGCCAGGATCGAGTGTTACAGGTCTACAGTGACTTGGGTAGAAACATCATTAACACGAGGAGGAAGGCTGTCCTGGCCAGTCAGGCTGCAGATCCTATATCCATCCCCTATGGGGCTTGAACTCAGGGCCTGGGTGCTGTCCCTGAGCCTCTTTATGCTGTACCATGTTGCTACCCTCAGATCTCAGTCTCCTGAGTAGCTAGGATTACAGGAGTGAGCCACCAGCACCCGGCTATGTAGACAGTCTATGGATCCGTTTTCCAGATTGGGAAGTTGAGACTTGAGCTAGTTTCTTTTCTTTTTTTGCCAGTCCTGGGGACTTGAACTCAGGGCCTGTGCATTGTGCCTGAGCTTCTTTTGCTCAAGTCTAGCACTCTACCACTTGAGCCACAGCTCCACTTCTGGCTTTTTCTGTGTATGTGGTACTGAGGAATCGAACCCAGGGCCTCATGCATGCTAGGCAAGCACTCTACCACTGAGCCACCTTCCAGGCCTCAGTATCTCTTTTTGCCCCTCCTGTATCTCCTCTTGTCCCCCTTTCTGCTGGTTGGAGCCTCAGGCTGCGCTCCTTCTGCCCTCTCCCCGCCTCCTTCAGAGGAGGCTGAGCGAGAAGGTTCCCTGCACTGGAGCAGGGGCTGATAGAATGAAACCAGGGCTGTTCCTGGCTCAGGCAGGCAGGCAGGCAGCAGGCAAAATCCTAGGGCAGGGATCGAGGGCCCTCCCAGCTGTCCCAACGCAGCCAGAAAGAACTGAGAATCAGCCCCAGACAGTTCCCTTGGGTCCTCTGGGGTGGGAGGGCCAACCGTTCTGGGGGTGGGACGTTATGGGTGTGGTCTGGCTGGGCTATGAGATTCTGGCCTCCACCTCTGTCTTGCTTGCTGAGTGATCTGGGGAAACCATTTCTCTCCCCGAGCCTCCCATTCCGCCTTGGCAAAGTGGGTGTGGGTGTGGGCTTGGGCGCTGCCCCTGGGGCCTTTGGCTGTTGGGAGGAGAGGATGAGGAGGTGGGTGGGGGCCCCACTAGGGGTGGTGGCTTGCTTTATTGCTGGGAGGAGGGGAGACTTCCTTCCCAGATGGAGAACTACTCTGGAGTGGCTCCTAGGAGCAGAGAGTGGATCCATGTCCCACAGAGCTGGTGCTGGGGCTTTGTTGGTATTCAAAGGGGGACAAGCTGCCAGGCCCAGGAGGTTCACGCCTGTCAGCTACACAGGAGGCTAGGATCTGAGGATTATAGTTCAAGGCCAGCCAGTGCAGGAAGGTCTGTTAGACTCTTAACTCCAATTAACCAGCAAAAAGCTGGAAGCGGAGCTGTGGCTCAAGTGGCAGAGTGCTAGCCTTGAGCAAAAAAGCTTAGGGCTCTGGTGTGCGCGCGCATACGCACACACATGTGCACACATGTGTGCGCGCGCACACACAGCTGACTATCTGCCTCAGTGTTCCCAGCCCTCAGGATCCAGCTGCTCTGCACCTGCCCTGATGATTGCCTGGTGGCCCAAATCCCCCAGGACAGACACCCCTGTCCACAGCCCAGCCTCGCTGCGGCTGGACCCCACCGCCGCCGCCGCCGCCCCTGTGCAGAAAGGAGGCAGCGTGCTTTATTTCCCAAGTAACCATGTCTAATTTCGTGACCAACACCATCACTAAAACACAGCACAACTATTTTTATAATGTGGTGTTTGAGGTTAAAAATTCAAATTAGAGATTAATTGCAACTTCTAGGAGATCTGTGGATAACACGCCTGACTTTCACATGTGCAGACTCCGGGGCCTGGTGCAGACTAGGTCGGCACATGCGCGCTCGCCTCCAGCCGGCCAGACTCCAGGCCTGGGATGCCCAGGCCCGCGCATGCGCACACGCTCCCAGACAGCCAGGCGTAGCTTCTGCTCTGTCCTGCACTGTCCTCCTTTACCCAGGACCCCAGTGTCAAAGCAGGATTCCCCCAATGCGAAGCGGTGCTGGGGTTTGCTGATCAGGAGCCTCCTAGGTCCTGCCAGAGGAGGGAAAGGCACAGAGCTTGGGGGCACTGAGGAAAGGGGTGAACATCTGGGTTTGGGTGCCAGCTCTCAGCTTCTCCATAAACCTCCACCCGCCCTCCACCCCAAACTAGAACCAGATGGACTCTGAGTGAAGGGGGGGGAGGTCTGAGGGCGGGTGGGCCAGACGGGATGCGGGGGAGCCCTGGCCAGAGAGGACCAGCTCTACTCTGGAGAGCCGGGGTGAGGCCACCCGACCCCCACGGGACTCCCAGGCCTGGGGGAGTCGCTGGCAGCTTTCTTGCTGTGTGACCGCTCACCACCTTCTTCACCGCCCATCAGTGGTGGTGTGGGGGAGTGGGCTGCCCTCCACATCTAGAATTTTCCTTTCTGATTTCCCACGGGGACAGGCATACCCCTGATTTGGAGCTGTGGCCATCACTTGCCAGAGGTGTCTCTGGAAGGGGAGGTCCTCTCCCCCCTCTCCCCAAGGGGCTATGACCTCCCAGCCTCAATTGCTTCTTCTGGAAAGTGGGGTGATGATGACGCCGACCCCGCAGGCGTGGTTTCTGTTATTATGACTGTGGTTGCTGTTGTTTGGAGCTCCATTGCGCTTCCCTCGTGGGCTGAGGACAAAGCCATATCCTTGGCAACTGCAGATCCCCAAGGACCCGCAACTTCTCAGTACTTAGGTCCATATTAAGGAAAAACTCCGTCTCTCCACCCCAGCCTACCCTGGGGCGGAGCTGTTTACCCCACTGTCAGGGCTGAGATTTTGGGGGGTCTACACCCCTCTCGACAAGCCTCTGCCCTTCCTCAGGGGACAGCTCGGGTATCTCCAACCCACACAGCCTTTGGCACAGCAGACCGACAAGAGCGTGGGTGGAGGGCAGGGGGAGGGATAGTCGGGTTGGGCTTGGCTTTCCGGGCTCCATCAAGCCCTTGGCTTCACCTTCCCCTCCACTCGCTGCAACAGGGCCTGCCAAGGCACCCTGAACGTGAAGGGTGAAGTCACCCTCCTCCTGAGAGTCCCTCCCTTCACGACAGCAGCGAATCAGCTCCCACTAAGGGCTCCCACACCAGGCGTCCCCCCCCCCATGAAAGGAGGTCCACATTCCCGCATTTCAGTGAGAAGCACTCGAGATTCCCCCTCCCGCTCCCCCTTTCCTGGGCAGGCACTGGGAGACATCCTCCTCTCAGCCTTAGGGAGCTTGCCATTATAAATGAGGTGTCATCACCCCAAAGCTACCCAGCCAGCACCCACTCAGCAGAGGTGGGGTTCAAGTCCACTCCAGAGTGCCCCTAATTGGGGTCTCCCAAGGCAGGGTTGTTAGGGGAGCCCCCACCCCTCAAGCAGCCTGCAAAATGCCACCTGTTGGCCTAGCTGGGCTAGTGACCCACAGACCCATGTGGCAGGGGCGGGGCTGGGAGCAGAGGAGAGGGCGCACCTGTGCTGCCCTTGCTGCAGATTTTTTTTTTTTTTGGTCCAGTCGTGGGGCCTGAACTCTGGGCCTGGGCGCTGTCCCTCAGCCCTTCAGCTCAAGGCTAGCGCTCTACCACTTGAGCCACAGCACCACTTCTGGCTTTTTCTGCTTATGTGGTGCTGAGGAATCGAACCCAGGGCCTCAGGCATGCGAGGCAAGCGCTCTACCGCTGAGCCACCTTCCCAGCCTTCACTGCAGATTTGAGGTGTGAAGTCCCAGCAAAAGTCTCACTGTACTCTTGATTGGGTCCCTGCCCAGCTCTGAACCAATCACAGTGACAGAGAGAATCTGGGTGTGGATTGGCTGAAATGGGTGTGGGGTATGGCTTCTCTGGACCCTTGCAGGGACCCCAGCTGGCCTCAGGGGGTCTCCTGGCCCTAACATTGCTCACAACTGGGAGGGAAGGATCTCCTGAACGGCCCTGAATCACAGTAGACGCAGCCTCTCGATATGTGGAGCTTTCAGATTTGGTCTCATGAGGCCTAGCATGTACTGAGGTTTCGGGGGTGCTGGTGGTCTAGCACAGGGAGACACCCCTGTGGCCTTTAGCGCATTCCTGTCACTCCAGGCTCAGACTTCCTGCCCCCTTTTTCTTCCAGTTCTGCTCTGAGCTTCTACAGCAGTCCAGACTTCAGTATGAAGTGCACTTGGTTTGCTTTGAATCCTGCTGGTTCCCCTCAATGGCTGGATGGCTTTGGCCAGTCGGTCCTCCAGGCTGATCACCAAGCGGCCGGCCCAGGCTCCTCTTAGGAATAATGAGAGTCTGGATGTGGAACTCTTCTGGGGGGCGGGGCAGGCCAGGCTCCAATGAAAAGGCTGGGAAGCGAGATGCCCCGCCCACCTGCAGACTTCTCCCTTCTGGACCCTGCTGAGCCTACTTACCTCTATAGCCACCCTACAGAGGAAAAACAGGCTCATTTGGAGTGAGAAGCCCACAGCTATAGAGCTGGAGCTCAGCTATCTGATAGCCCAAGACTGTGCCCTTGGCATCTCCAGCAAGAGGCCCTCAATCAGCCTACAGAGTCATACAGGTGCAGTTTGTGAGGATTGTCTTGTGGCTGAGGCTCATTCCTTTCATATTGGATGGGGGCTGGAAATCAAGACCTGGATGCTCTCCCTTGGCTTTTTTGCTCTAGCCTGGAGTGCTACCTCTTGAGCCACCCTCCACTTCTGGCTTTTTGGTGGTTAATTGGAGATAAGAGTCTTATGGACTTTCCTGTCCTGGCTGGCTTCAAACCTCACTGAGTAGCTAGGATGACAGGCGTAAGCCACTGGTACCTGGCTATGAGCTCTGTTGTTCTGTTCTTCAGACAAAAGACAGACAGACAGACAGATGGAAGTGGTTTCCTCCTGGGTTTTCTGTCACTGGCTCCAGATCCCTCTTGACCAGACTGCAGCTTGGCTTCTCCTACATGGAGCCCTCTGGGGAGGAAAGCAAGGGTCTGAGAAGCCAACCCTCTCCTTGGGTGGCTTGAGTTCCAATCCCAGGCCCCTATATCCTTGCTGGGAGGCGGGGGGCGGGGGGCTCCACCAGCTTGGAACCTTTAATGCAGGACGTGGCTGGAAAGTAAAAAGGCCTCTCTCCCTGCCCATTTGGATGTCTGACATGTTCACTGTGGCTATAGGAAAGATTATTACCTGCAGGCCCCAAGCCTTTGAAAATGGTTTTGTTCTAAAATCCAGAGTTTCTGACAGGCCCAGTTAACAGGCAGTCCATGTGAATTCAAGGGGTATTAATAGGAAAGTTCTACACAGGCCTTTGTGTAAGCAGCTGGGGGCAGGGAGGCTTTCCTACCCGTGTAAGGGTGGGTGAGAGCCTTTGATGTGGGCACACCTCCCAGTAAAGCCCCCTCCACAGAGAGGAGGGGACAGAGGGCCATGCCATGGACAAATTCCAAGCAAGGACCAGTGTTTAGCTCAGGGCAGTGGAAGGCTGGGGCCTCCACCTGGTGCTGCTGCCGGACAGCCCAAATCTACCACTGTTTACTCCAGCCTAGTGGGAGGGGCTGTTCCTAGAGATACCAAGAACCCCTCCCTAAAACAGAATTAGTCCTACCTGACAGAACATGGAAAGACACTTGTCCCATTCACAGGCTAACACGTGCCTGTAATCCCAGCACTAGGGAGGCCAAGGCAGGAAGATTGTGAGTTTGAGGCCAGTCTGGACTATATAGTGAGACCTTGTGTTCCGCCCCCCCCCAAAAAAAAAGATCAAGTGATGGATGAGGAAGCAAGCAAGAAGCCAGGCACCCGTGACACACACCTGTAATCTTTCCTATTCAGGAGGCCGAGGTCCAGAGGATCATGGAGAATAGTCTTCCACTTAACCAGCTAGAAAACAGGGGGGAAGGTGTGCCTCGACTCCAGTGAGCCAGGACAAGGCCCCGAGTTCAAGCCCACCCACCCCCGGTAACAAAGAATCGAGGGTGGCCCTGAGTGCCCTGCTGCTGGGTTGGATATGGGGGGGAGGTGAGGGATCCCCAAGCAACCATCTTTCCTGTGGCTGGAGGCCCCACATTCCCAGGCTGCCCTGCAGAGCCTCCCGTCCCCAGGGGTAAAGACTCAGAGGGTCCCCAGGAAAGAGCCGGAGGGGGGCGCCCCACGTGGGCGACCGCAATGCTTCCAACTTGAACTTTGGGCCCCAGGTCTGTAGTTATTAGCGGGGGGTGGGAGCACCGGCCTCAGTTTCCCCGCCTGGCAGCGCCCGGCCTCTGTGGGGGTTGGCCTGCGCCCGGGCAGCCGGTGGCGAGGGCGGGCGACTCCCCGGGGCT